GTCTCGTGAAGATCTCAGTCAACCAAAGTCAAAACGATCAGCTCAGAGAGCTTCTCCGAAGCAGTCAACATTTATGGGCCAAAAAAAAAAAAAAGAGGTTGAGGATTCTGCAGCTGCATCTGACATCTTCATCGCCTCCTTCCCGCACTGAATGAGGCCACAGAGCGCCGGAGCAGTGCAGAAATGCAAGGTAGAAACGGTAGCAGCTGATGAATGCTACAGACCTGTGCCTACACTGCAAAGGTCACCTGCTCTCCCTTCTTACCAGTCTTCTTCCTCAATTTGGAGTGCCCCTCCCTCCTTTTCAGGCACGTTAGAGAGGCTCTTCCCTCAGAGGATATTCTGCACAATGCAGTTTAAGGAAAAGGCTTTGCAAACAAATACCTTGAAATATGAGACAAACTCTAATACCGGTCCCAGCCCAGGAGACACACGCTCACTCCTCGACGTTTCTCTTCCCTCTTCCTCCTCCCATTACAGCCTGCTTTCCCAATATTTGTAGAGTTATTGAATTGTGAGTTATGGAGTTTGATTGAAAGAAAAAAAAAAACAATCAAACCCACTGGCAGGTCATCAGCTACAGCTAGACTAGGTCAACAAGCTCTAAATCAAGTATCAAACGTATGCTAACCTACATGCAGGTAGTTCAGTGCTGTGCCGTTCCCCCTTGCAACAGCACCTTGACCTGATTGAAACGGACAGCAGCTTTGCCATTGCTTTCTCTAGGGCCAGGATTTCATCCATACAAAAATCCATCATATAAAAACGTAAATCAGCTGCACGTAAAGAATGGAGTAGTTCTTACTATCACTGCAACTTTAAACAAAACACTTATTTTTAATATGGTTTGAACCGGAGCCAGGGAGTAATACAGCTAAATCTGTGCGCCATGTTTTTCCAGTTACTTATTCTCAAGTAATATGTATCCAATTGAGCAACAATAACAAAAAAGAACCACACATGTACTCTTACAAAACATATTTAAAGCATTTAGTAATTTCCAATAAACAAATAGGACGTGACAGACAGATTTGAGAACGCTGGGTTCGCAAGCTTTGCTCATGCAGGGACAAAAATCAGGGTTGCCTTAGGAAAAGGTTTGTGAATCAAAGTATCTTGATGGAAACTCCTTCTCTGGGCTGATATATTTACATCTAAAGGTTACTGTGACTAGTTCTGCCTCTGTTTGTGCCCTTACCTCACCATATAGAGAACAGCAAAAGAAAATAGGAAACAATCAACGATATAAGAAATCCATCTGGAAGGAGGACTGTTTTAATTTATTGTTTTAAACTTTGCACAGTCAACCTGAAGACCATCTTACTGAGAACCTGGTGCTCAGTAGAAGTTTCCCGAGCAGAGTCTATGACCTCATGACACAATATAGAGACTCTTATGACAGACGCTGAAATTCAAGTCGATGAGATTAAAAAAGAAAAAAAAACTTCAAGGACAAATTGTTTCCTAACAGTTTACCGAAAGATTCCTCAGTTTTTGTCTGACTTATTGGCAATGTCATTTCTTTTTATTTTATAATAAGGACATAAAGTCTCCGAAGGACATCTAATGGGGAGCACAGAGGTAGAAGGGCTCCACTGAGCCTTCAGTTTTATAGTTGGTTTTATCACGCTTAGGCTAAGATCCAGCACCCATTGACCTCAAAGAACTTTGGACCAGGCCCTTAATCATCATGCTCTTTGAGTGAAATAAGGAGATAAATATCATCTGGGCAAAAACCTTTCCAATCTGTGCACGATTATTATAAGACAAAAATGCTTGGAAGCGTTAAAATGCACTGAAGAAACCCTTGATCTCTAAAATCTCCTCCCTTTAATGCGCCACCAAAATCAAGCTGATGATAGAAACCAAATAACCAGAACTCTGTTTTACAATAAACAGAAAGAACCTCTTCAGACCACAGACGCGGCCTTAATACATGCATATACACTTTCCCTTCCTTTTTCTATCTGTAATGTGCCCTGTCGGATGCCTCTAATCTGCCGCGAGACTGTGAGTGACAAGAAGTTAAGAGGAAGCAAGAACGGGAGTTCACCGAAACTTCTGTCCAGCATCCTGGGAAATGGCAGAGCTAATGCTGGACCTTTGAAAACAAGTGACCATAGGAAATCAAGGTTGGCAGGGATTTAACCCTTCAGGACTCATTTCAGTAACTTTTAAAGCAAATGCCTGAGCTTCTTAACCATGTTTGACATCTAATTAGTCGAGAAAATCAAGAAGTTAAAATACATCCTTGCTATTTTGAAATAAGGCACTGACAATTAGCTCCAAGGTATTTGTTTAGGCAAAAAAACAAGCATGCATGTTAAAACAAAGCACAATGACAGCCACTGAAAAGAAAAGTCAGTTGGGTCACTCGTTTTACCCTCCATGTTCTTTTCAATATCATAAGTTTATTTGACCAGACCACAGCCTCTCTTATGGAGAGGCAGAATGGGTAAGTAACCAGATAGGTTCTTCTCCTAATTGCAAGTAGTTTGAATAGAGATGAATTGCATACCAATACGTAGAGCAGTAATATATCCTGAGAGATACACATTACTATGTAAGGCATTCAATCAGTGTCTAAGAGACATATTTTCAATAGCTGCAGTTCTTAAGGTAATTTGTACACCAAGTGTTAACATTTACCTGTCTGTAGTGTACTATACTGGAAAGAAAATTTGTCTTGAAAAGCACCAGCTGATAAGGCTTAGTTTCTCTTGCCTAATAATGATATCCCTATACTTAGGGATCAATGCAGCAGGACATTCAACACGTTCCTCTTGACCTGGCCAAGCATTTACACTGGTACTTAACTTTAAGCATGTGAGTCGTCTGATTTGAATTGTAGGGTTACACATGTTTTAAGTCAAAAATGTGATTAAGTACATATATGAATCAGAGGCAAGAGTGTGAATTCCTAAGTCTTTAAACATTACGTTAACTTGCTTCCAATTAGGTATGTATTTAATTTCTTTGCTAGATTGGAAAAAGGGTTGCTCGGTGTTTGCACTCATTTTCCTTTTACAATGATCCACCAAATATAAAAAATAGTTTCAATGTTCCTTTCAGTTTCCTATTTTACTCATATTGGATTATATATAAAAATCTGATGTCTGATGTATTTAAAAAATGAAAATTAGATCCTTTCTCCCAGTAAGAGCCGAACTGGAAAACAACCAATCAGCAGAATAATAAAATGCTACTAAACTGTATATGGATATAGTACCAGTGGGAGAAACCTATGAGCCAGATCTGGCCATCCTTTCTGAAATTAGTTTCTGTGAAATTAGTCAGTGCACGCTGAGGTAGCAGACTTGGGCCACTAATAAACTTTAAAAAGGTGAAAAATAATAAACAATAATTAATTAGCCATTAAAGTCCTTTACAGGATATTTTATAAGATTTATATTTCTATACATTAGTCTGAGTTTTGGCATGATTGTGAAAGTTTGGAAGCAATTAAGAGGTTTTTAATGAGTTTTTTAATGTAACATGTAGTCATGGCTGTCTTCAGATTCCATTATTCAAAATAATCAGTTCTATGTTAAATACAAATGACTTTTCTTACGCAAACCAAATGAACATATTCTGAACACCTTCAACTGTTCTTTTCACATGTATATATGTAATATATCTTTTCAAGCTTAAACCCATACAGATATGCATATGTGTTCTTTAATGAAACGGCACATACATTTATTTCCTGTGATGCATCCAAGTTTTGCAGGTGTTTAATTTTTTGATCTAAAGTGTGAAAATGATGTCTGCCTTGTATGAGAGAGGATTTTACCCTCTCCCATGTGCAGCACAAAAAGAACAGATGAACAAATTAGAAAAACTATTTTTACTGGCAAGAGACGCATTGACACTACACTGTAAACTGAGATTGACATCTATGACCAGACATGCACACACATGTTCACTTTTTCCCACTGTAGAAGCAGCATATTACTTTTCCTCCTTCCCTTCAGAAATGTAGCTGCTTCTCCTTCTCTCAACCTTCAATAGTCTGACAATTATTAAAAGTCAGCTATTCAGAGATATTTTTAATATATATATATAAAATCTCCTTTTTAGTGATAATACTATATAGCTCTTACAGTCTCAACTTCTATCCCAATTGCATATTCTCCAGATTTTGTGAATTCTTCCTAAAATGTATTCACAGAGGAACTATACTGATGCAGAAGAGACTCTGCCTACTTCAGAGTCCTGCTTTCATACAAGCATTATTATACAAAAGTTAATTACTGGCATTGCAGCGTGAGTTGCATTACACAGCTTCCAGCGCAAAGGTAATCTCACAGCTCTCTCTCTTCAGCTGCACCTTCCCTGCGATCACTAATGAAATACATCACACTACACGGAAAACAGTTTCAGTTCAAACAAATTGCTCTGCATTAAACATCCACAGGCAGCGTTTCCCAGTGCATAACAGTCCTTTCCTCCTTTTCTGGACTGATCTTTCAGTTTATAGTTTCTTGGCAAACCCACCATCTACTGCTTATGTTAGGCATCTGATTGTCAGATTTGTACAGACTGAATATTCATGACTCGCAAATTAACCACTTCATGCCTAAAAAGGGAAAATATAAATCTTCATCTATTGCGGGCTGCTCGAATTGAGCTCTGGTATTGTGGCCGTACTAGGCGCCCAGAAGAGGCGAGATTAGCTGGGTGGCCAAACCCGTCTCCTCGCTTTCAGTAAAAGTCCGATGCAATAACACGAGACTGAAAATATTCTTCCACGGATCGGCACGATCCGGAGTCCCTGTCTGCAAAGGCAACTAACTCTTCTTTGTCTGTGTTTAAACTGCGTGGAACCGACGATAGCACAGAGTAGCTTTTGAAGTATTTCTCAGAAATTGCTCTTAACGCTGATTTCCATTTTGAAAGATAAGGAAAACCG